CTAAAATCAAAGGCCTGCTGGGAAAGAATTCAGAAGAAACTCAATGAAAATACTTTTCATCAGTTATTTTAGGCTAGCTGGCCTAGTTGTATTTGACATAGTAAATACATTAGAGATTAAATACACAGAGATTGCTTCAATGTGATAAGGGTAAAGAAGATTAGGTCCTGGCATAGATCTGCAATGAACCTAACATCACATAAGCCTGAAGGTGAAGGTAATTAGCATCTTGGATAGAGCGGCTTAATCTGCTTCTCTGGTAAATCTGTTATCTGAAAAGAATGCATGATCAAGCTCTACTCAAACTGCACTCCTTCTGTGAGTTGAAGGCACCAAAAGAGGGAAAGAGAGAAAGGAGAGGGCTTTAAACAAGCTCAGAAGAGTGATAGACAGATTGCTTGAGAGAGAAACAAGGAGACAGTGACTGACAGAAAGAGAGACATACAAACAGATCCCCAGAGAACAAGTGGGCTAGCGGCAAAGTTTTTATTCTCTTATTTGCTTTGAGAGGTTAAGTTAGTCATTATAATGATGGAATCTGCATGTTAATCCACAAGCACACACACTGTCAGTCTGACAGGATGCAGCAGGTTATATATAGAGGCAGAGCGGGAGGGAGAGAGGCCACATTAGCGAGGTTTAAGAACTGAAACACAGATATATGGCAGACGTCTGGGATTTGGGGGTGGTGCTGCATTCTGCTTATTGGATTGCGTGGCCTGTCCAAGTCCTAAACCTGCTCATCCCCTACGGCACAATAACTTTAATGTCTTTGTGCAGCAGGGGAGGATTGGAGTGTGCTGCTAAAGTCTAATCCAACGCGGTCATTTCAGTCTTAGGCTAGCCAGGGCGGCATGCATCCTCATCTAATCTTTATATGGTGTAGACTGAGTTGGCAGGTTATAATGTACATAGTCATTTGCAAAAGTTAGAAGTTAGGTGCTGAATCTAATCAGAGGTGGCAGATGTACACAAGTGCCTACTCATGTGAAGTACTCTGGTAAAAATACTTTGGTAAAAGCTGAAGTATGGCTTACATTTCTTTACTAAGGTAAAAGTATAAAAGTGCATGCTGCTAGGTCTCCTTAAAAGTAACATTTAGTTTTTGAAAAAGCATTTTTTTAAACCAACCAGTTCACATTGCTTCTGTAAGAAAGGCTATGGATGGGATTTTTTTCCAATGCATTTGCACCTTCCAACAAACTTGAGAATTTTGGAACTTTGGTAACACTTTACTTAAACCCTACTACATAACAGTAACATAACCTTAACATAACCAGGCCTTAAACATGTCATGGTAGATGCTGTCATGTGCTGTCATGGCAGATCATGTCCAGTAATATAGCTATGTCATGTTTCCATTACCGTAAATTGCTATGACAGATGACATAATGTTTAATGTCATGATGGTAACTAGAGTATACTTAGCAAAAACTAGCGTGTGCCATAAGTTGTCATGACATCAAATAATATGGCATCTGCCATGATCATTATACCAGTAACAAGACACCATTACATGACTGAACAAAAGCTATTATAACTCATGAAAACATGTGAAAACTGCCATGACAATCAATGTTATGTAGCAGTGTTCAAGAATAGTGTTATTGTAACCTAATTCAAATGATAAGTGGATATTTAATGAGCTAGATAAAGGCTTGAAGACAGCTGCCAAGCTGCTTTTAATGTGAAGTTGAAAGATTTAGATTTATCATAAGTTTATTCCAAATATGCTGTCCCACAATTTCATGTCACTACCGAAACATAGAGTTTTAATTTAAAAGTGGAGCCTTATTTTAGTCACATCTCTGCATTTTAGACAGGAAGACTGAATCCCTGTCCCTCATGGCCACATGATGAGCAGTTAGATCCCTTTGTTTTGAAGTAAATGTGTCCCAAATTCAGAAGATCAGTAAGTAACATTAAGAATTGTCACTACCGAAACAAATATTTTCTGCAATTAAGTAAACTTCTTTATTTTTAATGAAAAAAAAATATGATTGTATGTGTGTAGAACTGTTCAAAGCTGTGTTTGCTAGTCACATACTGTCATAATGTGTATTTCTCCTTATGTTTTTGAGTTATGCTCAAAGGTAGCTAAAATTGTCGTTCACGTAAATCCACATTCATGAAATGTTTCTAAATCAGGCGATCCCACATGGGGCCGCCACCCTTAGTTTGGGAACCACTGGTGTATTGTGACACAGTTTATAATGATAACGACAACATAAATCATCACCCTGACCTGTGCTACAGCTGATTTCTGTCTAAGGGGGGTGAGGCATGGGGCTGGGGAAGGTGAGAGAGGAATGACATGTGATGTGTGATGTCGTAAGCAACACATTAACACGTTTGTGATGCAACTGGTAAAATGAGCCGTGTGCTTTCAGCTTGTCATGTGACCTCAGATGAGCAGCATGCTTCTGACATGCTTGCCTTTATTGCAATGTGTCAAGGTGTGACATGGTGGTTGCTAGGTAACACTTACAGTTCCCAAAGGGAACTCATAAGAGACACAGTGCACGTGTCTGTATTTCTTGCATTGTTAAGACAGCCAAGGCCGCGGACGAAAATAAAGAGAAAGACTTAGTAAGAGTGAAATCAATTTACTCTTCGTAGTTACTTCACAGATTTTCCACATTTGGTCCTCCAATCAGGTACACACAGCGACAGAATGCAAGATATGACCAGAACTAGTAGAGAAGGATTTATAAAAGTAAACAAGTTTGAAAACGCAGTATAGAAAAAACATCAGGCAGGGGAAAGCTTCATTTCAAACACATTCTTGCTAATAAAGGTCTTGTAGTTTCCGAAGCAACCAGCACACCAACATATTTTCTTTAAATATGAGCTTTTTTCTATGTACACACCAAGTACATGACAGCATGGTAACCACAGAGGTGCAAATGCTGCACAAACAACAGGCATCACATTAACAACAGCGAGTGTGCTGGACATCAATGAACTCCAAAGAAGAGAATCAGTGAAGAAACTGGACAGAATAAAGTCAATCAATATCAGGTCATTTCAGTTCAGCTGTCAAACATTTGCCCTCGTGCTGGACTATTGCATGCCATTACCATTTTTGAATCACTCACAAAATTGTGCAAAAACAATCTTGGCATTTTCTGTGCGGCCTTTGCTGGTGCGTGTCCATTCATCGCTGGTGTTCTGACTTTAGACCTGCGCTTGCATACCATATCTTCAATATAACACTCTGATAAGTATAGAATACCTCAGATAATATATGATACACTTTATATGTGATATACAGTATATAGTTTGATACACTTTATATGTGATTTCACAGTCTTGAAATGTAGTTGCACGGAATGTATATTCAGTCACATTCATCAACAAATAAAAATTACATTAACAATTATAACGGTGCAATAAAACACATTGCATTATGGACATATAGATTTTCGCAAAACAGTTTCAGAGTGAGTGTGATCTTTATCTGCCAGAAGATCTTCTAAATTTTTATAAATAATCCTAAGGTGGTAAAGTATATTTTAGATTGAAGTATTCTGTGTCAATGTGGATTCCTCACTGGGTTCAGTCATCATGTGCAGTCATTATATGATGTCACCATATTCATCTTGGCATTAATTAACTTTTGTAATTTCAAAAATGTATGCATAGTATTGCTGATTTATAGTACTGTGCAGAAGTCACAAACCACTCATCATTAACTTTGTTTCCAGTCAAAACGTCCACTAAGTTCAAGTTATTCGTTTTTCAGCATCAAGGAAAAAGCACAAAACATATTTAACAGAAAATTACACAGAAGCCTTAACCATTATAATAGCTTCCATTCTTTTCAGTTTATTTGCTTTCAGTTTTTCACTCCTCCAAAGTTCAGTCTTAGAAGTTGGTTGCACTTTGTGCTTCTCATGGACCAAGTAATCATCTGAGAACACGGGCAGCTTCTTTGTTTGACTTGCAAATATTTTTTGTACTTTTTTATTTTCTTTCCACTGTAAGGGCTTCTTGACAGCTATTTATCCTTTCAGACCTATAGCGTTAAGTTGTCTTTTCACAGTGGAAGATAGACAGAAACATTTGTGATTTTTATCTGGAGCTTGATTTTCTCTCAAAGACAGAGTAGTGTGTATCTGATGGGGACAGTTTTGGTGGTCTACCAGGTCTTGCATGGTTGTTAGGAGTCACATTTCTCTACAATATTAATATTTTACACTCCAATTTTGAAAACGTTTGTTTTTCTCTTATTTTCATCTGACTTTTTGCAAGTGGTTATCTTATATCTCCTGAAAAATTTATAACTTCGACTTAAATACTATTTTCTCTGGAAATGTAATGAAACATGGTTTCTGATTTCTGCACAGCACTGTATACCTTTACTTTTAAATCAACTGAAGGGAATCATGATGTAACATGAAAGGTCTCTGATCTGTTTACAGGAAGGAAAATCTAATATCTCACTGACCTCATCCAAAAACTCTCTTTAACATCGCCATAGAAACAGGGTGACATAAGCCATTACAAAAATGTACTGAAAAAAATAAGTACAAAAAGATACAGTACAAAATGACAGAACAGAAATAAACAGGATGATGTAACTGTGTTCTGTGTTCTGACCCTTACTAAATATGATCAAAGCAAAAACAGAAGACCGCACCATGTAGCAATGCCATGGAACGTTCGCCTCCGATTTCTCTGTGAAAAGTAAGCGGTCTGGACACTGCATCAAAGCCAACATCACTTTCAAAGCTAAAGCCAGTTTCCGTTTTTCTCTTGGGTATTACTGAACGCCCCTCAAAATGAGGAAATGCATCTGTGATGAAAATAACAGCCTAAAAGGCAACGGTTTTACACATTCATCTCAAGTATTCCAAAGTGCTTTCAAGACTTCACAGAGATACTGATACAGAAGTAATGGCTGATGATGACAGTGTCAATGCTCTTGTTAATCTACTTTCACCTGACTTAGCCTTGGACATACCACCCACCCTGCTGTGACCTCCTACTGTTAACCCTCACTGCCGTATGCTAGCATGATGGCTGCAGTGTTCGGCTGGCTGCTTGGTGACCCCTCCGAACACTTCCACCTCACGGCTGTTCCAGGGGACTACATTACCCAGCATGCCAGTGCTGCAGTGGGCAAGGGCGTTGAGCTCTGCGTGAGTAAGCAACCGGTCCCACATGTTAAACTGAGAGAGGTCCCCTATCCAAGCCCGTGAGGCCACGAAGCGAAGCCCACCCATCGAACTCTGCAAGACAAGAGGAGACAGGATTCAAACCTTTTTAAAACCCTGCGACATTTCTCTCTGCTTAAAGATTGTTTAAAGTTCTGCTTAAGTTTGGTGGAGGAGGGATAATGCTGTGGGGTTGTTTATCAGGGGTTGGCCTAGACCCCTTAGTTCCAGTGAAGGGAAATCTAAATGCTTCAGCATACCAAGACATTTTGGACAATTGCATGCTTCTAAATTTGTGGGAAGTGTTTGTGGAAGGCCATTTTCTGTTCCAGCATGACTGTGACCCAGTGCACAATGCAAGGTCCATTTAGGCATGGCTGGGTGAGTCCTCGCAGAATCCTGACCTCAACCCCATCGAACACCTTTAGGATGAACTAGAATGGAGACTGAGAGCCAGGCCATCTTGTCCAGCGTCAGTGTCTGACCTCACAAATGCTCTTCTGGATAAATGGGCAAAAATTTCCACAGACACACTCCAAAATCAAGAGTGGAAGCTGTTATAGCTGTAAAGGGGGGACAAACTCCAAATTAATCCCTGTGGAATTAGAATGAGGTGTCATAAAAGCTCCTGAAGTCTTAACCAATGGGAGAGCTAGCTTAGCTGCATCTACCTAGATAGCACAGGAAAAAAAATCTTGAACATTTTTTTGAATAGGCACTTCTAAACAAAATTTAACAATGAAATACAGAGTAGTACTACAACCCTGTTCACACAAAAGAAGGGACGCTATGCAAAATGTAAATAAAAACAGAAGGCAATGATGTGCAAATAATTCATTCATCTTCTAAGCTGCTTATTTGCCTGGGTCACAGGGGTGCTGGAGCCTATCCCAGCACTCATTGGGAGGAAGGTCGGAAACACCCTATACAGGTTGCCAGTCCATCGCAGGCAGATATACACATTCACCCACACACTCATACCTAAGAGCAACTTGGTATCTTCAATTGGCCTGACTACATGTCTTTGGACTGTAGGAGGAAACTGGAGCATCCAGAGGAAACCCATGCAGACACGGCGAGAACATGCAAACTCCACACAGAAAGGACTCTGGTTACCTGTCCCAGGAATTGAACCCAGCCTCTTCTTCCTGTGAGGCAACAGCACTACCCACAGTACAAAGACAACATATCAAATGTTGAGACTGAGAAATGTTATTGTTTTTTTTATTATGCTTATGTATTTGATGCCAGCAACATGTTTCAAAATGTTGGGATGGGGCAACAAAAGACCGGTAAAGTTGTGTAATGCTAAAAAAGAAAATATCTTTTGGAACATCTGACAACTATTTAGGTTAATTGGCAACAGGTCAATACCATGATTGAGTATAAAATAGCATCCCAGAGAGTCTGAGTCTTTCTGAAGTAAAGATGGAAAGGGGTCACCACTCTGTGAAAGACTGTGCAGGAAAATAGTGCAACAATTCAAGGATAACATTTCTCAACGTAAAATAGCAAAGACCTTTGCTTTTCATCATCTATCTACGTAATATCATTAAAATTTCAGAGAATCTGGAGAAATCTCTGGATGCAAGGGACAAGGGCAAAAACATACTGGTTGGTTGTGATCTTCAGGCCTCACCGCATGGGCTCAGAAACACTTCTGGAAACAATTATCTGTGAACATAGTTTGTTGCTGCATCCACAGATGCAAGTTAAACCATAGAAAAAAGAAGAAATCATATTTAAAAAGGACCTAGAAACACAGCCGCTTTCTCTGGGCTTGAGCTCATTTATGATGGACTGAAGCGAAATAGAAAAGTGTCCCGTTGTCCAACGAATCAACATTTGAAATTCTTTTTGGAAATCATGGACGCTGCATCCTCTGGGCTACAGAGGAGAGGAACCATCCAGCTTCTTATCAGCGCCCAGTTCAAAAGCCAGCATCCATGCACATGGCATGGGTGACTTGCACATCTGAAGGTACCATTAATGCCGAACGATACATACAGGATTTGGAACAACATATGCTGCCATCCTGATGATGTCTTTTTTCAGGGAAGGCCTTGCTTATTTCAACAAGACAATGCCAGACCACATTCTGTGTGTATTACAACTGCATGGCCCCATTGTAAAAGAGGCTGGGTGCTAAACTGACCTGCCTGCAGTTCCACTTTGATACATTTGGCAACCTATGGAACAAAAATTACGACAAAGGAGACCCTGAACGGTTGAACAGCTGAAATCCTATATAAAGCAAGAACGGGAAAATATTTTACTTTAAAAAGTTGGTCTTCTTATTTCCCAAACACTTGCAGTGTTGCTAAAATAAGAGGTGATGCAGCAGAGTGGTAAATACCTCTGTCTTTTTTCAAACATGTTGCTGGCATCAAATTCAAAATGAACATATATTTTTCAGAAACCATAAAATTTCTCAGTTTTAACATTTGATACGTTGTCTTTGTACTATTTTCAATTAAACATAGGGTTTAAATAATTTGCACATTATTGTATTCTGTTTTTATTTACATTTTGCACAGTGTATCAACTTTTTTGGAAACGTGTTTGTACAATCTTTGCATTTTTTATTTCACAGAAACTATTAGGCCTTCTCTGAAGACCTTAGAAGGCCCTGAGGATTCCCCACTGCATTTAAGCATGCAGTTTGGTAAATCCAGTGTAAAACTAAAGAAGCAGACCTCAGACACCAAACATGTCTTGGCTTGATTGACCACATTTTGAGTAAGGGGGGAAAACTCTTTATATAAGATTTTTGGCTTAATCATTGCTTTAACTCTAAGATAACCTTTTAGTAGACAAAAGGTTGAGTTACTGAGTATTAAAGCAAATAGAAAATGAAGGAGAGAAATTCTGATTAAAACTAAAGTGCACACGTTTCTCTGAATTCCTGGTAATGAGATATTTTCTGAATAAATTACATGGCCTTTTCTGGTGGATTTCTGGGAATATTCCCTTTTTTATTTCCCACTATGTGACTTTATCCCATAGGCCAGTAGTCATTAAAGTCCTGGCTTAAAAGCACAACCCCAATAAAAGCAGGAAAAGCTCAGCAATGCTGGACGGACTAAGGGAAGTCTTTAATGAAAGAATGAGGAAAGAGGAGTTTAATGAGGGAGGGATAAAGATAAGATGAGAGATGCACAAGGGAAGGGTGTGTGGATAGAGGGCTGAAGAGAGTTAATCAGGTTTACAGAAGCCCCGAGGTATTCCCATTCAAATTGGTTTTTGCTAGTGCAGAAACAGCAGCCTTTCACCAACTCTAATGCCAAAAGACTAACTTACTGCACTCTGTATCTGATTGAAAAAACAAAGGCAGAAACACGCTTTGTTCTCTTTTAATAAATTTAGTACAAATCTTGAGGCATCCAGTGTCAATTTAGACTTATTTTTCCATTTTTCATTGAGTTATGTATATCATTTATTAATTCAGTCTAGCAAGGCACTGGTCCCATATTGTGGAAATACTCTGCTGTGCAATTTCACTGCTATAGCATCACATATTGACACATATTGCACATTTAGTTTTGCTATTAAGAATTATGTAGATATATAATTATGCTCTTTGGGACAATATATATATACACCAATCAGGCATAACATTATGACCACCTCCTTGTTTCTATGCTCATTGTCCATTTTATCAGCTCCACTTACTATATAGGTGCACTTTGCAGTTCTCCAATTACAGACTGTAGTCCATCTGTTTCTCTACATACTTTGTTAGCCCCCTTTTACCCTGTTCTTCAGTGGTCAGGACCCCCATGGACCCTTACAGAGCAGGTACTATTTGGGTGGTGGATCATTCTCAGCACTGCAGTAACACTGACATGGTGGTGGTGTGTTAGTGTGTGTTGTGCCGGTACGAGTGGATCAGACACAGCAGTGCTGCTGGAGTTTTTAAACAGTGGGTCAACTCACTGTCCACTCTATTAGACACTCCTACCTTGTCAGTTCACCTTGTAGATGTAAAGTCAGAGACGATAGCTCATCTGCTGCTGCACACTTTGTGTTGGTCATCCTCCAGTCCTTTATCAGTGGTCACAGGACGCTGCCCACAGGACGCTGTTGCCTGGATATTTTTGGTTGGTGGACTATTCTCAGTCCAGCAGTGACACTGAAGTGTTTAAAAACTCCAGCAGCACTGCTGTGTCTGATCCACTCAGACCAGCGCAACACACACTAACACACCACCACCACATCAGTGTTACTGCAGTGCTGAGAATGATTCACCACCCAAATAGTACCTGCTCTGTGAGGGTCCATGGGGATCCTGACCACTGAAGAACAGGGTAAAAGGGGGCTAACAAAGTATGCAGAGAAACAGATGGACTATAGTCCATTATTGTAGAACTACAAAGTGCACCTATATAGCAAGTGGAGCTGATAAAATGGACAATGAGCGTAGAAACAAGGAGGTCATAATGTTATGCCTGATCGGTGTATATATATATACACACACACACACACACAAACACACATACACACACATATATATATATATATATATATATATATATGTATACACATTCCACAAACTATTTATTTGGGCAGTAAGCATGTATTTTCTGAGAAAAACATCTATATTACAGAAATTTGAAATCATGGAGAAATCTTTGAACCACATACTCTGAAAACAAGAAATCTTCAAAAATTCTTTGAAAATAAGAAAATAAGAAAAAACTATTTGATTAGGTGCCTAGGGCTTTTGCACGGTACTGTATTTTTTTCTTTGGTACGCATGACCTTTGACTGGAGGAAAAAGCTCTCTTTTTAAATGCCGTTAAGTTTCATATATATATATATATATATATATATCACATGTAACTTGGCATTTTGTATTAAATCTGCATGCAGTGCGGAAGTGCAGCCAATTGAGCAATTCTGAGCCACCACACTGAAAATCTGGACACCCAGAGCCCGAGCCAGAGTATGACTCACCTGTTCCTGGCCCAGGACAAGTGTTCCTCCAGGCCGGATGGAGTGGCGGGTTGCCAGGTCCTTTCCCTCACCTTTCAGCTTGCCTCCTAGGTAGGCGTGCCACACCCCAGCTCTCCTGTTCCAACTGATGCACACATGCTGCCACACACCAACCGTCAGGTTCAGAGTGAACTGCGCCACCTTCCGGAGGGAGGAACAAAACTCTTAAAAAGTAGCTTCACTGAAATGAAATATTTCGCTGGCACAGTGTTTCTCTGAGATCGCTTCAAGGAGCGCATCCCTACGGCTGCATAAATGCCTGCATATTAAACCATCATAACCAAAGCCTATGGGGAAGAGACTGAATCACATTAATACTAAATCTCATGAGTGCCCATTATGTTACTATTTTGAGGAAACACAGCCTCCAGGAAGCACTTACCACCGGAGTCCTGTCAACACCATGCTGAGACGCAACTACCCATTTAAAATGTGGCAACAATAGCAAGGAAGTCAAAAATCCAACAGAGACAGAAAAGAAAAGAGAAAGAATCTTTGTAATAGAAAATTAAATTTTACTCACATTTTTAAATAGAATTTTTGTAGTATGTAAATAATACTTTAAATGCCAAATATACCACACGCTCCATAGTCTGATCTGTATATGGAAAATAAGCCATTTTTTTCTTTTTACCATCCAAAAAGATCAGTGAAGCTACATGTGTCTTCTGAGTTTTTATATGTAATGTTAATAATAATAATAATAATATGAAATATGTAAAAAAAAAACAGGTTTTATATAAATATGAAAAAAACAAGTTTTCTTGGGGACCAATTCTACTTACAGCACCCTCCAAGTACTATGAATGGAAAAAAAAACTCCATTTTAGGCCAAAACTTAATTTCAAACCAATCATAAAACAATGACTCAGACATCAGGCAGCGTATTCTGAATGAGTTCATGTAATAACGTTCTGTGAGGGAGCTTTTAGAGGCATTAAACCTTACCTCTTACTGATTCAATCATTCAGAAATTTTGAAAAACCAGTGGAATTTCCCTTTAATGTACTCAAATATGGCCTAGCCTACCAGATATATTTTCTGAACTGATACAAAAACTACAAAAGTGGTTATAGATAACCACTGTCATTTTCAGGGTTTCACAGCAGCGTCATGGTGTGTACCTCATTGTTGATGATGAACTCAATGGGGCCATGCACCAGCTGCTGCAGCACCAGCTCATGACTCTGCTCTGACACGGCGTAAGAAACTGCAGTTCCCAGGATGCTCTGCGCAGGTCTTAGCCATATGCAGAGGGTGAGGGCGTGGAGGGCAGGGATGGAGTGCTTCACCACAGCATACATGGAGCTGCTCCTCATAGGAAACGAAAGCCTATAACCCTCCGGAAACTTGTTCTCAGACAGACCTGCCGCAGAGACACATGCAGATATATTCAGGAAAGTTCAGATACACAGTTATATGCAAAAGTTTGAACACCCCTGGTCAAATTACGTTTTCTTGATTTTCTAAGTGAAGTTTACACAGAGAACAGTTTTAGGGCACATTTTTTTTGTTTGCTAAGTTTAATTGGAAAGATACAAAACAAAAATGTACCACTTATGTACAGGCCACATTTTATGCTTTATTTATTTATTTTTTATTATATTGTTTGGAAAATGGTTTTATTCTTATAGCACCAAAAGAGTTCTTCTATTATTTCAAGCTTGATATCGTAACGGTAGAAGAACCCTTTTTGGTGCTATGTAGAACCATTTTGAAAAAGGCTCTATTTAGAACCATATGCAACACACTCTCCATCAGTCTGAAAAACCAATTCACCATGCATTCTAAGATGTTAGACAGGAAGGAGTACGAGCTTCAGAAATGGTCCCTCTTGCACACTTTAGATAATTCATAACTTCACTTAAATTATGGTCATTAATAATGTGATATGTTAAAGCTTGTATCATGCTTCCAAAAGCTTTGCACGTGGCTTTAGTAAAACACCTACTCAGATATAAATAGATAGATATAACATAAAATTCTACATATTATATTAAAAATAAGAGAGAAACAAACTCTAAAAGGACTTTAAGAATATGGCTCCTAAACAAATATTGAAAGGAAGCACTAAGTTCAATATGCATTTTTACATTTAATGTTCTTTAAATTATGAGTGTAACAGTAAATCAAACTCCTCAGCTAACACCCAGCACAGACCCCTGTAACTCATACCATTGTTTCTAAACAGTCCTGTAATTTTTAATGCATGTGGTTTACATTCACCACTTGCAATCGTATACATCAATTCTTCCCTTAGAGATTTAGCTTGCATTACAAAGAATGACAGACAGGCATCTCACTTGTTTAGTCTTACATAAGCTTGCATAGTTTTTAAGGTTTTAAGTCAAACCTGATGAAATCCTTGGTTTATTGGAGCAACAATACACCATGATACCCCTCTAATATTCTGATAAGTGCACGATATACTATCCAGTCTGTCCCAAAACCTCACTGAAATCAACCAAATCAGTGCTTGATGAACAGAAGGCATGTAGAAGGGGTGAAATGGAGAGAGAGAGGTATTGGATCGTCTATTTATAGCCCCTCAGTGGGCGGCTAAATATTGAACAGTTCTGCATAATTGATCCAACGCGTTAAAGTAGTAATGTGTTTTCCTTCAAAATCCACTTTTTAATTCACCTTTTAACTCAAAACAGTCCTTACCGACTTTATAAGGGCCTCAGAAAGATTCTTTAGAAAATCTCCCCCGCTTTCCCACTCTATTTTCGGCTTAGGTTCTCCCACCTTCACACTTCGCCTTGTTATTTTTCTCAACTTCACATAAGCTGTTGATGATGATTTTTTTAGTGCTGGGCGTTTTAATATACAATAGTTACATTTACTCAAGTACAAGTCAAGAGCAAACTATGATGAATTTGAACTTTTCTAAATGTTGTCAAATGAAACGTTTTGCTCAAGTATATTTGTGTGGGATGGAGACTCTGCTTACTTCTACAGTTTTATCATTAATGTTTAGTTATAAATGGCTTTTTTGTGTTACATTTTTTTATGTTGGTGACAGTGTATGTACTGCTTTGTGATTGGTCACACTGACTTTTTCAGTTTAATTATTTTAGACCAAAAGTAGAAGAACAGCTCCAAACAAACTTTTAGGGATGAACGATAATATCAGAATCGTATCAGTCTCGGCATGTAATTCCTTAAAAAAATAGGCATGTATACCAATGTCTACACACCTATATTTGACCGATATTTCAAACCGCTATTTGATGACATTTATTGTGAAGAGCAGCATCCTTTTTTTCAGAATTCAGGAGTTTACATGTGTTTAAATATATTTATATATTTATATATACTTATATGTATATATTTACATATATTTAGAGAAAAGGAAGATTTTTTTCACCAATGATGCAAGTTTTATTTTACTCTCTATGGCCAGGGCCCACTGACAGGCCCAAAGTTTATTACACACTTCTATAACAGTGGATACAAGGATAGCTCAGCCAGTTTGCACTGAAGTCCATGTAGTTGCTGAACAATAAGCCTTAGTATGTAATAAGCCTGGGTTTTTTTAAAGGGGTTCAAATATTCTTTATTACTATACTTACCAATACTTTTGCCCTATTTACTGTTCAAAGAATATTCTTAAATTAAAACACATTTGTAGGAACGGCTTCTATTAGATAGATGGTGAGATTTTTTTTTTATATTTTTGAGGATCATTTGAATTGTGTTTTTTATGTAATGTAATTGTTTTTGAGGAGTGCCAATAATTCTGGGGCTGACGACATGAAAAATATATACTCTTGAGTACTTTTACTTCTGAGTTTTTGACCTTGTAATTTTGTACTTTAACTTTTCATTTCTTTACGGAAAGGTGCTTTTACTTCTACTTACAGGTTTAGATAACTCTGCCCACCAAACAGTATAAGATGATATTTATGTTAGCATTAAAAAAGTCTATAAAGCCGTCCTGAGTTCTGCTACACTGTGCTAAAAGAATATCTTACAAGCCTGATGCAGCTTGTTTTGATGGACTGTTTTGTTTTCTTCCTTTAAAACAACACCAAATAGAGTCTTAAATAGTGTCTTTCTACCAGCGAGGCAACAGGAGCACCAATATGAATAGAATATTATTTTGGATATAATGCTTGTTGTCTATCAATAAAACTAAGAACTAAAAATCAGTATTAATGTGTGACACCAACACTGTACATCTCCCAGCACTAGTTTTACTAATTCATCCATGCATCTATCCTCTTAACCATCTCTCTCTTTTACCTTGCTCAAGGCTACTGATGCGCTGGTGGACAGCGTCCAGTCCTTGGTCAATGTGCTCCTGATGTTTCTGTGTCTCTTTGCGCAGGGCTTTCCTTTCCTCTTCCAACATCTTCATCTTTCTCTTCAGCTCTCCCTCCAGATCCTCCACTTTCCTCTGTACCACTGCGCCCTGACCCTTAGTGCCACTCTGGACCCTGCCTGCACTTTTCTGTCCTGTCTCCGTGTGGTTGTGAGCCAAAGGGGCCATTTCTGACTGCAAACAAAAGAACAGACTATGGTTATTGTTATTGTGTGTAACATTACTGAGCTTCAGGAAAAGCTATGAAAGATTAAAGAAATGGTTTGGCAAAAATCACATTTACTCATTTTTACTAAAGTGAACATCAGCCAAGACACGTTTGACGTCTGAAGCTTTTACAAGACGCTAGTGTCATAGAAATATATTCTGTACCAAATAGAAGTGTACAAACTACATGCCTAAATCATCACATGCTCACCTCAAACCACATCAGTTTGTTCAGTAATCTAAAATAGACTTGCTTATGCGGTTTCTGACACTGTATGGCATACTGCTGTCTATCAAAATGGAAAAAAAGTATGAATAATTCAGGTTACAACAGTGACTTTTGCAAGCTGTTTTTTAGCTATATGACATACTTTTGTCGATGTCATACAGTGAAACCACATAAGCAGATCAGTTTTAGTTTAGAGTAAGTCTGTGATGATTTAGGCATGCAGTGTACATGATGCTAATTTAAGGGGTATTATTAGCTACCATTAAGTGTTAGCTATTAGCCACATAGCTCCACTGCAAAAATAAAGAAGCAAACTTCACCAAACTTCAGACATCAAACTTTTTTTTATTTGAGGTGAGGAGAAAGTTGTGTAGATTTTATTTTTTGTGCCAGACTTTTCTTCTTTTGTCAAGTCAGTGTAGTTTCACCATCGCTATTAAGACAACATAATCTGTGGCTTTGTGGATGGTCACTTGTTATTTTCAGTCACGGCATGATACCACGTTTTCTTTTGAAACCTGAGTGTCGTCCGATACTGATACCAAATTTCATCTTTAAAATGAGCTATTTTTAATTGAAGCACTTCACTTAAGATGATCACGTAAAGCAATCATAATCAAACTACTCAGATACTCTACAACCCCACAGGAAGAAATACTAAGCTAACAACATTGCATCACAGTGTGAGTGAGTGCTTTTTCAGGGCAGATTTGTTAGAGTATTGGTTCAAATGTATTATTTTTTCCCTTCAATATCTGATACAGTATTTCATCATTGTCCATAAAATTACAGTTTCCACAGTGATGACTTTACAGCAGAAGGCAAAAACATTCTTAACTTTTAATTTAAGTTAATGTAAAGACATTTCTATTGGTTCATTCATCATGACATTTGTGTATGTAAATGACAGCTGCTGTGTTCCAATGAGAGAGGTAAAAATTTAGGTACATGTTTTTCTTCGGGCAGCGATGTTTTTCTTCTTATATCGGTCTAATATCGATACATGATACCGTTTTGCTGCCATCTTTAATTTCAGAATTTTCAATTAAAAAGAGTTATATTGTCTTCATCTGAACTTGTTGCCTTCGCTGTTATGGAAGAGAGCGGAATCTGCATACGCAGCTCCAACCATGCTGCAACATCAGTTTGGATTTATGACAACGAAAAACCACCATTACCCCACACTGCAGCAGCTAAGCCATTAAATTACATTTCATCTCCTCAAAGCTCAGAACCATAATGTGTTTTGCAACTGCAACCCCCCCTTCCACGTGATCACGCACACTGTGGTCGTGGATCATTGTGATAAAGGACGCTACCTGTCATTACAGCATTACAGTATTGATGCTGGTGTTGGCTTTGCCTCCATGCTTCTGTGCAATCATGACATTTTATTGATGCTCCATCGAGGGTTCTTCATTAATGTAGAGGAAGCTCTACATTATTGATCTCTAGCAAGGCTTTAATCACGCAAGCAGTGCCCTAGCACTGCAGTGTGGTGATAAAACACTGAAACGGCAATGATGTCTCCATCTGAAGCCAATGAAGGCTGCAGAAGTGTAAATCTCTCTCTGCTCTCTGCTGTGTGCTCCGTGATCGGGGCGAGAATGAGCTTGAGTCAGCAGGGAGCTGAACTTTACATCCCCTTTATAACCATCCTTGCTGCTAATCACACACACAGGGTCTATTAATGTAAACTCATTTTGAGAATGAACACTCTGTGACTTGTCTGTTTTAATATTATATAGCTAAAAGATAGAAGTGCATTCAATTTTGAATATTATACAGATAAAGACTGCATCCAGTTTTATATTGTACAGATAAACTGCTTTTAGTTCCCAGACTAAATACAGTTCCCAATTTGTAATTCACAACTGGCACTGCAATTTAATCTAAGACTACACTGTAAAAAGAAGTATTTTTTTTTTACTGTAAATATACTTTATTTATAAAAAACTTATTAAAGGTTAAATGCATGCAAATAAACTGTATTCTAACACTGCTGCTGTTAATTTATAGAAATAGAACGTAAGTTCACAAAAAAAAACGCATGTCAAAAGACATTGCCTTTATTTGACAGACATTTGCATTTATTTTATGGGTTTTTACTGGTACCATTACGGTAAAATACAGTATGTTAGAATGACTAGTTAAACTAGTAAACTGTTGATTTACAACGAAAGCTACTACTTGTAAGAAATCAATTGACTGAATTTTACAGACTTTTACCATCATTGAGAAAACAATGCTTTTCTGTTGATTAACAAATTTTGTCTCATACCCCTGCTGTTGGACTCACCATTTTGTACTTTTTTTTTTTGATTTTTTAAAATATTTTTTAATGTATTTATTTATTTTACAGTGTACACTTAATCTGTGTGCAGGAAAACATCCTATAAGGAGTATAATTTGTATCAGTTTGTAATGTTATTCACAAAAAAGAGTAGGATATAACAACATTCACTGAATAATTCCCCAGTCAGCCCATTCAGTCCATATTTGACCAAACCTGTTGTTATCTAAGACCTTATCTTTAATATTACTCTCCAACAAATAGCCTATTGAAGCCACAAAGTTTTACCATATTAATTTCATTTGCATGTACATTTTCCATCCAATTTGATGACATAATCCCAATTTAAACCCAATTTATTTGTATTTATCTAATAAATTTGGATCAATTTACTGCATTTCTTTAAAATGCCTCATTTAAAATATTTGCTCAGTATTTATGAGAGCCAGGAATCTTTTTCTTTTTTCTTTTGAGTCGCTTATAATGCCATTTGTTCACAGTTTTCTTCCAGCCAGGCTCCTCCTGGCAACAAAAAGTGATTAAACACCCTGCTGTCCTGCTTGAGAGTTGGATACACTTAGGGCGAATTCCCTAGACATGGATTAGGTCTAATCCCAGGAAAAAATGCAATGTTAATGGAGAAAAACCAGGCTTAATTCATCAACTCTTTCAGAAGAGGTGCGCAATATGAAGATGTTTTATCATTATTGTGATACATTACAGGTAATTTCACTGAAAGAAAGCATAATTAGTCCTGTTTAAGTGAATTTAGTGCATGCAGAATGTTGATTAAAAACAATAAACCTAATGTACTTACAGCAGTTTATAAATGTGGAAATACTGGTGGATTGTGTTAGTTAAAATGTGAAGTATTGTGATATAGTTTTCACTCCTACCTCACAGTGCTGTACATTATTGGATTAGCATCTACAGTGTTGAATTCACAGTGCCCATTAGTGAGCAGCAGGACTTCTATAAATCCTGTAGATGCTAGCTGAGCACTGCTGGATGTCAATTCTGCACTATAGGTGTACAATGAACACTGAATTCAATTATAGCATTACATCTGTGCTCAGCTGGACCTTGAGGTGGTCTCCAGCGCTTGGCTTGAGACAAATGTGTGATTCATGTCTATGTAATAAATTACACCAACATAAATTTGTCTTATCTCTTTTACATTTGGCAGTAATTGTGCTGCTGTAATATTTCATTCCTGTTGAGATGATGCACACATTTGAATCAAGTCAATTCACTGAATTACTTTTTTTCAGTGACTTTTATTCAACCTTGCACAAACAGGTTGCTCCTCACCTCCAGTCTCTCTATCCTCTCCTTCATGTGCAGTATGGCTCTCTCCAGCTCCTCTACTGCTCCTGCTCGCCCCTCGTCCCCCATCATGCCCCTCTCCCTCTCCCTCTCCTCCTGCACCACTCCTCCTCCTCCGGTCCCCTCGCACTCCGCCAGTTTCCCCGTCAGTTCCCGGATGGTCCTGCGGTCGGCTCGGATCTCCTCCTGCTGTCTCTGGGCGGTGTGTCGGAGCTCCTCGGCGGCGGCGCGCAGGGACCCCCACTCCCCCTCCTCATCCTCCTGCTGCTGGTCCGCCTGAACAGCCTTTGGATCGCACTGGCCCGGCGGCACAGGCGTGCACAGCAGGCGGCTGTAGATGACCCTCTGCTCGCTGCCCGCGCCGCCCACGCCCCCGGTCAGCCCGTAGAAGGTGGGCGCCTCGGGGCCACCCGGAGCCTCCGTGGCGTGGAGAGCGTCCAGAGCGCCGGCCCTGGCCACCGAGCCCGGGGAGAAAGGAGCCGGAGAGGAGGAGCGGTTCTGGGTGAGCGGGGGAGCCGCAGGAGACCCGCTGTGAACCGCGGCGATGATGCAGATTACAGCGCCGATAAAAGCCACCATCCCGGCGGCCAGAATGACTACGATGAACTTCAGGGTGGCGGTTGGAGCAAGCGATAAAGACGAGAAAAAAGAGAAAGAAAACGGGAGACTTACAGCTTTCTGAAACGAAAAAACGTGAGAGTGGAAAGCTGTCTAAAACGAAAAACACTGAACGCGAACGAAATAGAAGATAAGTAAAAAGAACGTGAGACTGAAAGCTGTACAGAAAGAAAACAAAAACGACACACTGACAGCTTTCTCAAACAAAGAAAAACGCACTAAAAAAAACGTGAAGGCTAAAACGAAAAAAACAGCAAAAAAGACGACAGAAGATCAACGAAACCTTCAGTCTTTAACTACACGCCCACAGTGACAGAGATAACAGGTTAGACAGAGCTCCTCTGATGCTGCCGCTGAAGTGTTTTCCTGTCCCACAGAACAGCGCCCCCTGTCCGCGCTCGGGGAGCTGTCTCTACTGTGGGGAGAGCGAGCAGAGCCGGTGGGACTAAAGAGGTGGGCGGGCTAAAGGGGGAAGGGGGAAAAGTGGGCTGGCTCAGAGAGGCCCAATGGGAGCGCGAGTTTGTAGCCGCTTTGAGAAAGCTCCGCCCACATCCAGCTCAGCCTGCACGCGTGTGTTCAGTCAGTAGCTGATGGAAAAAATAAAGCGACCTCCAGAAATACGGGCCAAGACCTTGAAGGTCTGTTGTGGACCTGGAAGGCTTTGCTTTGTGTTCTCTCACGTCATCCCGTATTATTAGAGTAAATCCATGAGGGAATAAACATAAATAGCCTACAAAATTATTGACCACCATGTGTGTAGTTATTTGCACCCCCTTCCTTTCCCATGATATCTTACTTCACTTTATTTGTTTATTTAACAGGGACAAAACACATCAGTCAACAGCATTATTTCATAATGTAAATGTGCTGATCATTTTCAAAGCACATTAGACTGACCACACATATCATGCAATTTAACACTTGATTTGTTTGGATATTCAAAACACTTTTGGTTGAAGAATATATTTGTATTGATTATTATTATTATTATTATTATTATTTTCTTGGGTGTTAATAAACAGGTTGCCATTGGTTTATCTGATACAATAAGCAACTACAATAGTTCTAGTGTTGTATAATAATAGTGCAATACTGTGAAATTGGTTTTGAATAAAACATAGGAGAGGCCATTATTTCTGCCATGAGAAGTGCTTTGTTACTGACACCAGCAGAAAAGACACATGAAAAACAGCTGGGGTTAGCAGGCAAGTCATTTCTAGCCATACACCTTCTCTTGGCAGTATGTATACACACTTTAAACTAAGAAACAGCAACATTACACAGTAACATTTAAGGTCCCTTTTGTGGAGGGGGCAGGACATGAGTCATAGCTCTGCATACCCTGCCTCCAAAGCCCCTACTTGAAACATTGAGCATAGCGCTGTGTTCCTCGCCCTGATGTCTCTTTGGGGAGGATGAGCTCCACTGGCGATGGCTGTTCGAAGGCCAGCAGGTTTAATGAGCTGTACCTGCCACCTCAGTTCCTCTGGCTATAGCATGTTCAGGAAACACTCCTTTACCAGCTACTCCTGCACAGCCCTCTGGAATGCTGGATATGCCTGCTGAACCATCGTGCTCAGCTCCGCCACCAGTACACTTATCCACTCTCTCTCTCAGTGCCTGGAGAGCTGTGGTCAATGCCACTAGGTCACCTGGAGCTTCCACTTGCAGCTGTGCTGATTATGGCCCCCAGGCACTCTTGCAGTTGTAGTGAGGGAGGCAGATGTGTCCAGCTTCTTCTCACTGGGCTTCAGCTGGACTCCATCACCGAGCCTTGTTGAGCTGTTTCTTTCACTGTCTCTGAGCTTTGCTGTCTTTTCCACCATCTTTTATTCTTTGCCATACACCTGTAAGTTTGTTGAAGTCCCATTCCACTGCTTGCCACTTGGCAGCATTATCCCACTTCTGACACCACTGTGGTGTAAATAGAATGCAAAGATATGCAAATCATGTAAATCATATTCTTAAAGGAAAATTTTAAAGTTTTTTTTAGCATTACACAATTTTACCAGCCTTTTGTTGGCCCCATCCCAACTTTTTTGGAATGTGTTGTTGGCATCAAATTCAAATTTATTTTTCAATAAACATTAAAATTTCTCAGGTTCAACATTTGATATGTTGTCTTTGTACTATTTACAATGAAATATAGGGTTTAAATGATCTGCACATCATTGCATTTTGTTTTTATTTACTCTTTGCACAGCATCCCAACTTTTTTGGAAGTGGGGTTGTAGAATAAGATATGGGAGAGACCATTATTTCTGTCACAAGAAATGCTCTTTTATTGACACCAACAGAGAAGGCACATAAAAAAACAGTCAGGGGTAGCAGGCATGTCAAACTAAAGAACAACAACATTAACAACATTGAATAACAGTATTTAACGTCCCTTTGACAGAGGGGGCAGTGTGTGGTACAGCTCCTCATACCACGGCTCCAAAGCCTCTTCTTGAAACGTGGAATGTGTGGCAGCCGCCACAATACTTTATTATAATATTCCTGTAGTTCTCTTACACTAGTCTAAATTATTACCCTGTAGTAAAGTAGTCATTTATATTCTTATAGGAATCCTGTACAAATTACTGCAGATCTTTTCATAACATCTTTCATTATTTGTTTATAATTTGTTTTCTCCATTTATTTATGCACCAGTTTCACTAAGATCCATGCTCTGCACACAGCAGTGTCATTAGCCAATAAAAGAAACTCCGATTTTTTTCTAAGCTTGCCAAAAATTCTGGAGAGCACTATACACACCCCAGGTTATAGCTATAAGTAATGCTTATGAAGGTTCATAAGCCAATGCTTTTCTGTATAGTCTAGAACTCAAAAGATTGCTATTCCATAACTGTAATGTCTTATAACATCCCTGACTTTAGGTCAGCAGCACTCTTCATTTGCCTTGGCCCACTGGACAAGAACTGGTCATAGGTCATGAATTACCTGTAAGTACAGTAAGAGTGATAACAAACTGACCACTGAGGACAACCACTGTGACCCAGATAAGTTTGAGCTCATGTCTGTGGCAACAGGCCCAGCAGGTTACTGTGCTAACCACTGACCCAAAGGCTCATGAACACATTCATATGTTTTTCACAGATGGTTTAAAAAGACACAGTCAAATCACACGCAGGGAGATGAGCTCCTGGATAACTGTGTCAGCTATATAGGCTCTTTCCTGTTCCGCACAGAATACAGTGATAAACAGAGCTCTGCTCAGCAGAGTTGAAGTGAGGTGAGTTTGTGGAACAGATGTGATGAGCTGGAAGAGTCAGAGGCAGCAGGACAGCTGTGTGTGTGTGTGTGTGTGTGTGTGTGTTTGTGTGCCCTTTTAACAAGCTGAAGTGGAACATCACTATCTGAACAGATACAGAGAGGGAGGGAGGGAGTGAGGGAGAGAAAAAGAGAAAGAGAGAGAGAGCTAGAGATAGATAAATGTTCAGCCAATTATGACCAGAAAGAAAGAGAGACACAGATAGATGGATAGATAGAGAGAGAGAGAGAGAGAGAGAGAGAGAGAGAGATGCTTAGCCTATTATTAGAAGACAGAGACAGAAAGAAAGAGTGAGAGACAGGGGGCAAGAGAGAGAGAATGAGAGTGTGAGAGATGGAGACATAGATGCTCAAATTATTGCCATACATAAAAAGGGAGAGAAGGACAGAGGTAGAGAAAGAGAGGTAGAAAGTGAAGGATAGAGAGAAATAACGAGATAGAGACAGCAAGAGAGATAGAGAGCCACTTATTACCAGATAGAGAGAGAGAGACACAGAGTTGGGAGGGGGGTAAGACAGAGAAAGAGAGAGTTTTTTCTGTCTCTCTCTCTCTTTAGAGAGAGATTAGCTCAGCATATCTCTCTCTCTCTCTGTAGAGAGATGCTGTGCCAATTATTACTAGATAGAAAGAAATTCTGAGAATGAGTGAGAACGAGAGAGAGAGAGAGAGAGATGCTCAGACAATTATTAAAAGGCAGAGAGATGCTTTTTTTTGTTGTTCAACATCATTCTCCGCTTTCCTGAGACCTGGTGCTGGGGGCTTATTTCCTCAATCTACAAGAGAGACAAATTGGACCCTAATAATATGCTGCTGGCTTATAGCAGTATTCGGATCTGTTAGAGAAGTACAGAGGTCAAAACAGGGCTCTGACAGTAAACCCACATAAATCTAAAGTCACGATGTTCCATAAGAAAGTCAGATCTCAGGGAAGGAGATGTGTTAAATTTAGGGGACACCACCCTAGATCAAACACTTTCCTATCAATCAGGCAACAGTTTTTCAAGATTGATATTCCAACTAGAACCTGATCAAAGATCTTTGACAGTGTAATCCTCCCCATTGCACTGTATGGAAGTGAAGTCTGGGGCCCACTCAGGCATCATAACTATGCTAGATGGGACAAGCATCCCACTGAGGTCCTGCATGCAGAAGTTTGCAAAACGATTCCAAAGAATGTGAAGCACAGATGGATTCTCACCAAATACAGACTCAGTGACCACAGCCTGGCCACTGAGAAAGGCAGGTTCAAAAGGTTTTGGTTGCTCCAAGAGAAGAAAGCTTGTGTGGTCACAGCAGGAGAGGTGAGGTAGAGACAGAGGGGCACTTTATACTTAACTGCCCAAAATATAAATCTATCTGGAATAAATATTTTAAGCAATTTCAAAAACAGATACACAGCTTCAGGACATGGGCGGAAGGCAGGATACACCCTGGACAGGTCACCGGTCCATCGCAGGGCAGACAGACAGACAAACACAGTCACACACACACTCACACCTAGGGGCAATTCAGCATGTCCAATTGGCCTGACTGCATGTCTTTGGACCGTGGGAGGAAACCGGAGTAGCCGGAGGAAACCCACGCAGACACGGGGAGAACATGCAAACTCCACACAGAAAGGACCCTAGTCACCTGGCCGGGAATCGAACCCAGATATATATACATAATATATATATATATATATATATATATATATATATATATATATATATATATATATATATATATTTTCTTAATTACAGAGATGTATTGGATAATGTGTTATTGGATGTATTGGATACTAATTGATGTGTTCTCTTCTTTATTGTTATATTGTCAT